TATTAATATCTTATAATAAATTATTTGTTGAGCAATTATTTGTTGTTTCATAGAGTAATTATGATACATAAAATTTGTTATCTAATTAATTTAACTAGATAGTTATTTTACTTAATACGATAGGTAGTTATTTAAATAATTATTTCAACTTACTCAATTACTTAACTAAAACATCATAGATAATGCTTTAAAATTAAAAATTATTTACAATTCATTTAATTCAATAATTATTTAGATAATTATTATAATAACTTATATATTAGCATAGTCAATAATTATCTAGTAATCTCTTATAATAAATCATTTGATTAGCAATTTGTTCATAGTCATCATTTATCAATTACTAATTAATTTAACTAGATAGTTACTTTACTAAATACGATAGATAGTTATTTAAATAATTATTTCAACTTACCCAATTAATAAACTAACACATTATATAATTAAAAATTATATACTTACTATTCAACTGACAATTATATACTAATTATATACCAATTAAACTAAATCTAATAAATATTTATTTAAACCGAACCATTCAAACCGATCAGACCAATATGACCAAATCAAATCAGACCGGGCGGACGCGGTCCGACCAGGCCAGGCGGACCGCGTCCGCTCCGGCGGCGCGGACGGCACAAGCAGACGTTTAAAAAAAACCCTGGAACAGCGGCGGTGACGGGAGCGGCGAGCGATGGTGGAACAACGGCGGCGACGGGAGCGACGGCGATGGGAGCTAAGGCGTCTGAACAAAGGCGTCGGCGGCTTCTCGACGGCGGAGGTGGATGGCCGGAGGGATTCTCGGGGCCGGCGGCAGCGACGGGAGCTGGCCGGTGGGCTTCTCGGCGGCGGCGGAGGTGGCTGGCCGGCTTCTCTGGGCAGCAGCAGGTGAGGATTTTGGAGGTGAAGGTTTGGAGGTGAAGGGTTAGGTTGGGATTTGTTTAGGGTTTTAAAATGAGGCAAGGGCAATATCGTCATATTTTTCTTAACTATGGGCGGCAAATAGCGATTCAGAATAATCAGGACTACTTACTAGGTTCTGACAGCAATACCAAATTACTATAATCTGAAATATGAAATATGATGTCATGATGGGCCAAAGGAGAAGAAGTTACAAATGCTTTCTATATATAGGGCTCATGGAGATCAAGCATCCAATTAACTTTGGCAAGGAAAAATTTGATCATCGACAGTTGGAGTTATACCAAAATTGAAAGACATGGCAGAAGAAGAATCTCAGTAGATAAATCAAAGTGATGAATCTAAATAATTATTTGTCACTAACTGACGCGCGTCAAATTCATGTGTCGGGAACTTGAAACTACTAAAACTAAAAGAATTCAAATAATATTTCAATATATTTTGACAAAAAAAATTCATACCACTTGTTACCATCTTTGTTTTTAACTCAAATTCTACAAAATTTTGCACATATGGAATGAAATCTTCTTGATCTATTGGATCTACAAATTTATGGAAAAAAAATACAAGACTATCATGTATTTCAACCATCATACACTGTGTTATGTTCATACCACCATGGTATACTTTCGTACCATGTGGTATGATCTTATGTAGTACCAAGCAGTACCACCTTGGTATAGATGGGTACTAAATGTCTCAATTTTTTGTTCCAAAAATATATCAAAGTGGATATCGTTTTGAAGAGTACAATTTATCTGTGCAAAAAAAAAAATTATGACTTAAAACGAAAGAGATATATGCCTTTAAAATTTATAAGAGAAATGGTTAGGGGCCTTCCATGGGTTATTGACCACAAAGTTATACACCTGATCCGCTCTCTATAGTTCCTATCAATTTCTTTTATCTAAGGTTATAATGTATATTCATATATATGTTGAGAAAATATTAAAAAGTAGTAGGATGGGAACTATTAGTTCCCCTCTTCCAAAATTTAAGTTCGGTCTCCAAAATTTGTTGCAAAATGTTATTTTCAACTCCTTCTCACTCTAAGTTCTGGTTTTGCGACTACTAACCTCACATCTCTCTTGTCTCATCTTCATTTTACTTTTTCCTACAAGAGGAGTATGTAGTAATATTGCATGAAGAAACCCTAGCTTGTTTTTGTAGTCAAGAATGAGGATTATCGATCTCTCCCAATTAAAGAAATTGGACTCTATAAGAGGTTGCAAGACCAACACTGTCCCCAATTTTCACTGGTATGGATGAAAAACAGACTTGATGGATCTGTTACAAAAACTCCATTGTAGCTTAGCAAAGTTGTGTTGCCTGAAGTTCCTCTAGTGTGAGGAATCCTTCGATCGACATCGTTGCCAGAGTAAGAATTAGTGAAAGTGCCCATAGGATAATGAACTAGGATTTTACAGAAAGAGGGGGAAACGGATTTCAGAAGCGAGAGAGGAAGTGTCGAGCTCGGTAGGACTCTGAAATCACATTAGATTTCTGAAGTATTCTTTATTGATGATCAATTTCAATTGAAAACATGACCTTCTAATCAATCTAGTATAATCATTTATACAGAGTTTGCTAGAGAAGAGAGAGAAAAGGAGCGGGAAAAGTAATTGAGTTTGTTACTCAACGGATACAAAGGAAACTTACATAGTGCTACCTAAATGTATACAATCATCACTAACTAGTCATATTTTAATTTTCATTCTAATACCTAATCTATAAAAATTACATCTTTATGTTGATGCGACACTTAAATACTCCATCCGCTTCTTTTCTTCTCTTTACTTCCACTCCATTGTGGTCAGGGGCGGATCTAGGAAGGGCAGGGTTTGTTGCCCGGAAATTTGGGACACACCCTCACCCGGAAATTTTGTGAATCACTTATATTTTTTTTGTACAAATGTTTTTAATTTGGGACTTCCGATACACCTCAAATAATTGTGGGCGACGCACCTTCATTGTACGAGAATGATTTTTTTGTTATAAATTTATTTATCTTAATTAGTAAAAAAATAATAAGTAAAATTAAATAATTATGCTTGTTTTAAAGTAACCCACACCACAACCCGACAATGAAAAAAGTATGCATAACCTCATTCTTTGAAACTCATTGTTGCCACTCATTGACCCTCCCTTTGTTGAAGAAAAAAAATGGGCAATGTCTATTTTTTACCCAAACCTTTTCAAAATTCTTTTATTTTATCCAAATCTATTGAATTTCTAATAATTATCCAAACGTTAACTCTCCGTCAACTTTTCTGTTAGGAATGCTTACTAAGCATGACCATGATGAGTTGGCTTCCCACGTGGCAGTCAGAATACTATCATTTACTATTTTTAATAAAAAAATTCTCAAAAAATTAATAAAAACAAAAAACAAAAAAGGATCCCACCCCTCACGTCTTCTCAGTTCTCCCATCCCCTCTCACTACTTCCCCTCCGCCTCTCTTTCTCATCGATTTGGCCGTCGTCGTCGTTGCCCTCTCACTACTTCCCTCTCCGCCTCTTTTTCTCATCGATTTGTCGTCGCCGTCGTTGCTGGGACATATGGGGAAACCCCTCGTCGCCGTTGTCGGAATCGGAAGCCCAATCAAAGAAGGCTGCCGACTCCTCTTCATCTTCCTCCAATCCTCCTGCACCAGCACCAGCGTCAGCGTCAGTCCAAGCAATCCTCACGATCGCTGCTCCCTTCCGGCGCCCAACCCAGCAGCAAACCCGATTCCCCAAAACCCATCTTTTGATTTTTTGTTCTTCCGATTCATAGATCTGGATTTACAGTTTCGACGGCGGGCGATGGCGTCGATGTCCTCCTTAGTTTCGACGGGGGGCTTGGGCGGCGACGGGCGAAGGCTGGCGAGAGCGACGGCGTGTGGGGTTGGGAGTTGGGGTTGGTTTAATGGAAATAGGTTTTGTGGTGTGGAGGCGGATGCGGAGGCGGAGAATAGAGGAAGAAGAAGCGATGGAGTTGTAGAGCTACTGGAGTTTTTAAATTTCTAATAATTTTCTTTAGTGATATAAGAGATTTTTTTTTTCATTTATGAGTGGACGCTGACATGGATGCATACGTGGAGTTCTGTTACGAAATAAGTAACGGTAACAGAACGAATGCCCAGACTTTGATCAGTTACAATAAGTTTGGATAATAAATAGAATTTTGATAGGTTTGGATAAAATAAAAGAATTTTGAAAAGGTTTGGGTAAAAAATAGACATTTCCCAAAAAAAAAAAAAAAAAAACTCATCCTTACCTCTTTTTAGTTTCTAATTACCGAGATCCATTGCCACAACCCCTTTTCTTTTATACTTTAGTTTACTTGCTCTCGAAAGTGTAAATGGAACGAATTCATGAATTGGTGGATTTATAAAATTCAATATAAAAATTAGCTACCAAATGTTTACATTCAAATCCAAATCCAATGGATTAGTGAACGAATTCATGAATTGGTAGATTTTTCATAAAAAATCAAAATTTTGGTATTAAATTGTAAAATATAGAATATATAGGTATTACACTATATTTTTAGAACAATTCATAAATTCATTCACTAACCCATTGGATTTGGATTTGAATGGACTGCATTAATTGAATTTCTAAAGGATGGATTCGACAGGACTTAAATTGTCACAATTAATTGTCCAAAACTAATCTCTAAACTGCTTCACTTCGTTCTTGTCCATTCTTTCATTCTTGGCCAGTTCTTTTCTTCGCGCGGATAAATGTGATTTTTTCTTCAAAATATGACCTTTTCTGTTTCGGTTACGATCAAAACACAACATAACATATACATCTATTATCTATAATACATGCATTAATAGGAAATGTGTAGTTACATAAATTTCTCATTTATGCCGAGCAAAAGCTAGTAACACAGTTTTGCCCAAATGAGGGAGCCAATACAGAAACTGTACATAAGGGAACGACCATAGAAGAGAATAAACTTCCACAGGCCTGCCAATTAGTACATATACCCTTACATACTATCCAAATGATCTGGTTCCCAAGAATATCGACTCTGTCTTACTGCTACAGAAAATGGAAGAAGAATTGAGATCAAAGCTACAAACTTCTCATCTAGAAATAACGTGACTTCTAAGGACCTGATCAAGGCAACCACCATCATCAAAGTTGAGAGCGTAGCTACGGATGTCATAACTGAACTGTGAACTGGTGCTGTTGCTGCTCTTCTGCGGCCACCCGATTGCTCGCTTCCACTTTGCCCTCAGCTTGTAAACCAATCGCGTAGGGACATAAGACCTACTAATACTCCTGCGGCTACCCAATGGAGCCTTTGTCTTCCTATCAACAATGGATGCCATTGCAGCTGTTGATGTGGGGTTGGGAATTAATCTCTTCCCCTGCCTCAACAACGGGATTCTTCTTATGCTTTGTGTATCGAGGAACTTCATGGCAAACTGTGCTGCAATGTCAAGAATGTAATGAATGAAACACAATGAGAGAGGGAGGGTTGTGAAACGGAACTAGAGGTTGAGCTTTCTGTGTATAAACTGCAAATTCACTCACTGATACCAACAACTATGAAATGATGCCTTAAATAGATTTCAACATACCATTACATGGGTTATTTTCAACTTTTGCTTTGCCCACTATGCAATAGCTCCTTTACAGTCAAATCAAATTGGCACAAAGTTTGGTGGATAAAGGGGATGCCTGAATTCGACCTTAGTGAGGTTGTGTGGTGTCAAAAGAGGTCAGTGATGACTACACTAGGGCCAAACAACATGTTACACAAAAGGGCAAAGTAATCAGTGTATATCTATTACTTATCCTCTTGTTTGATCTCCTTTGCGCTTTAGTTAAAGTCTGAAATGCAAAAGTTCTTAAAAGTAGACTGGATTGGGTCTGCTCATATACCGTCATGACCGAAAAGAAAGAAAGAAAACCCTTATCCGAATTATGTTAAAAGTGCAAATGCTTACCTGTAATGTGTGCAGTAGTAGGGAATTAGTACTACCTACTAGTAGGGTGGTTATAAGGTTCGATCCGGTTAAATTGGATCAAATTGATCCGATCCCAATCCGATCTTTTCGGGAATATATATAAGGATAAAAAATTGGATTGGATACAATCCCGTCTTGATCCGGACCGGTCCCAATTTGATCTTGATTTTAGGTGTTGGGGGTCTCTTATCCGGTTTTTTACCTCAAATCTAAGCCCGAATATGAGATTGGATTGTTTGCTATCCCGTCCCAGTCCGGTCTCGATCCGGGTTATACGGTCCGGTTCCGGATAAAACCAAACAGTCCGGACCAAATAGCCAGCCCTACCTACTAGGTTCTGGCAGCAAACCAAATTACTATATCTGAAATATGAAGTCATGAATGGCCAAAGGAGGAGAAAATAAAAAAATGCATTCCATAATGGAAATCTGGTCACCACCATGAAACTCATGCCCCATCTTTCTTATTTCTCTAATATTAATTCTTCTGCTCAATCTCTTCATCTCAATCAGAAGAGGAACGAGAGAAGTTGAAGAAAAGAACTAATCTTCTACTCTTTTTTTTTTTTTTTTTTTTGACAAAAGATAATCATATATTGATAACAAAGAATAGATCATTACATCATATGCCGCAACCAGGCAACAAAATCAAAAGAACGACTCGCTATCGGGTACAAAGAAAGGGCCTTTCGAGCCACCAAGTGGGCTACCCTGTTAATACGCCGACCAACAAACCGAACACTAAACCCCGCACTCTCAGCCAGGTACAGCAAAACCTCGCGAAGAATAACACCTGAAGTACTATCCCGCCCCTGGGCCAAGTGAAGCCTGTCCACAAGCACCTTCGCATCCCCCTCAAATTGAACATTCTCAAACCCATTAGCCCGGCACCAAAGAATGGCTTCCCGGAGAGCCAATAGCTCCACGAGCATCGGATCATCCACTCCCGGAAAGCAAACCCCTATGGCACCTAGCACAACCTCATCCAGACCAATCATCACCACCCCTCCTGCCGAGTGGGACCCATACCTCACCGCCCCATCCCATCTACAAAGGAGCGTACCCTCAGTGACTTGGGGCGGCATGGGGCTACAAACCTCAGGAACACGCCCTACTACTTCCTTCGGCAGCGAATTCCACTCCCTCACTTGCTGATGGTATTGACGAACCAAGGCGGGAATGCCAAACTGTTTGCCTTCAAAGACAACCCAATTCCGCGACTTCCAAATCCGCCAGAGCAACGCCACCACCGCCATGATCTGATGGGGGTCTTTGATAATGGCAATTAAACGCTTGAGAAAGAGGGGAAAGGTATGACGAGGCAACCCTTGACCCACATGCTCTAATCCAGCATAATCCCACAATGCCCGCGCCACACGACAATCCACAAAAAGATGTTCCATCGTTTCCGACTCGCCCCAGCAGACCGGACAACGAGGATGAACAGCCACCCTCCTTCCAATCAGGGCCTCCGTAGTGGGTAGAAACCGATGTAGCACTTGCCATAAGAACACCTTCAATTTGGGTGGGAGTGGCAGATTCCACACCTGGTTCCAACTTTTTCGATCCATCCAACTCACTGTTGGGCTCCAATCCCCTGCCTGCTGATCCAGGGACACGGCCAGGTGGTACGCAGATTTCACAGGAAAAAACCCCATCCCCAGTCATATGCCAGATCAGACTATCCTCCATAGCCCTTCTAGGCAACGGGATAGCACAAATCGCACGACAAACATCCGGGGGAAACCAATCACCCAATTTCTCTGTCAACCAACGACCTTCCTCCAGGCAAATGAAATCAGCCACCTTTGGCTCCAACCCACCTGGAATAACACGGGGGTTAAACATGGGCGGTTCCGGGAGAACTAATCTTCTACTCTTTGACTACATTTATTGAATATGTCGAGTTTTGGAGGGAATGAGAAATACATAGTGTTTGTTACTGCACAAACTCTACACACTCAATAAGTGTGTTTATGTATATTCACAAGAGAGAAAGATATGTATTCTAGATAATAATATCGGTCTTTATTTAAAGAACATATGCATGACATTAGGTTGAGTCTTGACCTGGTCTTTCTTATTTCGAATTTCACTACATTGCTCTCTACCAACGAAATCACAACATCATGCATGAACTCTTTACTTGTTCAGTTACTGATAATTTGAGGTCATGCGAATAATCTAAATTGTATATCATCTTTCCTCTCCTTTTTCTTGATGAATATTACAACTCATCTTAAATTTTTTTAAGGTGCGGAGGAAGATAAATCGAATCAAGTGCACGAGTTAGTCTTTTGACAACTGTAACTTTAGTCGTTGAGCTTTTAAGCAAGATTATACATGTTCATAATGTACTCTTTACGTTTCATTTTGCATTTATAATGTATGAAAACAAATTATCCCAAAAGGATAACCTGCCTCCAATTAATCGCAAAAGTTATACGATTACTTCTATTAACCCCATTAAAATCTCAGTAAAAGAGTCAGAAAAAACTTATGACGTAAACAATTAATGATCATCAAACACACTAGATTTGAGCAATCCAACTTTTACAATTATACTCAATTTGATCGAATTGTTTTATCTTAAAAGGGATCTTCTATAATTTTACACGCGTTCAGATAAGTGTTTTTTAGGCCATGTTTTCACTTTTCTTTCAACTCCACTTGGTGATCGCTAAATTAATTAAAATGATTAAGCCACAAGCAAAACACTATTCATGTTCATTACGACAATTTCGCATTAACCTTTATTATTTGCGCTTAATCATCTATGTGGGGGGATGGATTAGCATGCTAACCCCCTTAAGGGGTTGAAAAAATGACACCCCCTTAGTGTATTAAATACAACTATAGAATTTAATACACACATTAAATACACATTAGAAATTAAATGCACCATATTAATTATTATCTTTTTTTTCAAATTAAAACCTACACTAAATATATTCTCTCTCCTTATATCTGATTTTTCCTTTTTTCAGCAGCCTCTGACCACCAGACTTCCTCCGACCGCCACACTTCTCCCGTGAAAATCTCATCGGCAAACTCCCTCCGAACACCTGCAAAAAATATACCACTGCACTGATATGTTGTACCACTACACTGGTAGCTATACCACTGCACTGGTAGCGATATCAGCGAACTGGTAGCAATGTCATATATGAGTATCAGTGCAGTGGTACAAATACCAGTACAGTGGTACAACATATCAGTGCTGTGGTATATTTTCGCAGGTGACCGGAGAGAGTCAATCGGCGGATTTTACCGGCGAAATGTGGTGGTCGGAGGAAACTTGGTGGTCGGAGGCTGCTCGGAAATGAAGAATAGAGATAGGAGAGAGAAAGATCAAAGATGAGAGAGAGAATTGTATTTTTGTACATGTTTAGATTTTTAAAAAAAATGAGTAATTAATGTAGTGTATTTAATGCTTACTTTGTATTTAATAACAGAACATTTATTATGGTTACTTTCATTAATACTAGTCAATAATTAATGAAAAACTGACCAATTAATAAGGGGGTGTCATTTTTCCAACCCTTAAGGGGTTAGCATGCTAACCCATCCTTTGGACGACCAAGTGAGGCTCATTCCATTACCCTCAATAAACACTTGAGTAATCTGCTTTGGGTTTCCCAAGTCAATGCGCTGGGTTAAGGAAAGCTAGACTATTTTACGGCTCAAGATAGGGGTTTCCCAAGTCAATGCGCTGGGTTAAGGAAAGCTAGACTATTTTACGGTTCAAGATAGGGTGCATAACCATCAATAACCAAATCTGGACCCTTCATTTAGAAAATCTAGATCTAAGGATGGAGAATTGACTCATATCTTTTTCGTTTTAACTCGGATTTTAATTTTTTTGCACAGATGGAACGAGTTCATCGTGCTCTACAAAATGAGATCAATTTTCAATATTTTTTTAGGGAAAAAAAATTTTGGCCTCTCGGTACCAACTGCATACCATATGGTATCTTCTTCGTTTTTCATTCGTTTTTGAAAACGTTTGCACAGCAGGGACGAGTTCATCATGATCTATTGGATCTACAAATTTCTGGGTGAACAAATTACAAGACCAAAAAATACCACACAATACCATACAATACCACCCTGGTACGGGGTGGTATTTTATGGTATACAATGTTAAAAGTCGTAAATGACTATTAATATACTTCTACTATCATGTATTCAATCATCCTACAGTCTTGGTTTGTTCATACCACCATGGTATGCTTTTCAAACCATAGGTATGCTCTTATTTCAATACCAGTCATTACCATATGGTATAGACTGGTAAAAAAATGGCTCAATTTTTTTTTGTTCGAAAAATATATCAAAGTGGATATCATTTTGAAGAGCACAATTAATCTGATCTAACTGTGCAAAAAAAAAAATCGACTTAAAACGAGTGAGAAATCGTCCGTCAAAGATTAAGGAGGGGAAAATTAAAGGCTTTCCAGAAGAGAGAGGATGCTGATATCATGCTTATGTGAGAGGGTTACTCATAGTTCCTCACCATAAAAGTTACTGACCTGATCCATTCCCCTATTTTACCATTAAACCACGTGTTATGGAAGATATATGTAAAATTGTTTTAATAAAAGTCATGTAAATTACGCATACATTATGTAAAGTTTATGTAGGGATAAGTATTTCTTATGTAGCAAATAAACAAACGTATTATAATAGTTTTTCGTAATGGTCAGGACACTATGTAAAAGTTCTGGGCGGATAGTTATTTCTTATGTATCAGTTAAGCAAACATATTATGTATGTCTACCGTAATATAAGTTTGGATCAAATTTCAATTGTTATTAACGAAACTATTGGCATTCTCGTCAACTTACACCAAAATTTATGTAAGATCATTTATCTTTTACATAACAGTTTAATCAAATGTGATACTTCTTCGTAACTTAATTCCTTTATAATAACTAAAATATTATCACCCATTTTCATTATTCAAAGATTTTATAAGGTCAAATAAGTTTTATATAACCGTTCAATGAAACATTACGCCTTTCGTAACTTGATTTTATTATTAAATCACACTTTATAGAAGATTTATGTAATATCGTTCTATAATAGTTACTTGGATTACAAATACATTGTGTAAAGATTTTGGAGGAATAATTATTTTTATATATCAAATAGAAAAACTTATGACATAACTATCTCATAATGATTAAGGCATTGCATAATGCTTATTGAGGGATACTGAATTAAACAAATAAGATGCATTTTATAACTTAATTTTGTTATTATTAACTAAAATATTTATAATCTCATCAATTTGTATTATGTAAAACTTCTATAAGATGAGTTAACTTGTACATAACAGTTTAATCAAATGTCATACTTTTCGTAACTTGATTTTATTATTACACCACACATGGAATTAAATTAATGTAACACCGCTCTATAATAGTTACGTAAATTACAAATAAAATTCTTAAAACTTATGGATGGATATTTATTTTTTATGTATCAATGTTAAACAAACATATTACGTAACTCTTCCATAATATGGAAAAAAACGAGGACACTTAAAACTTATGAAGGGATAATTATTTCTTATGTATCAATATTAAACAAATATTTTATAGCCATTAAGACACTACATAAAGTTTATGAAAGTATCTTATTTCACTGAATTTTTCAATTATTTGAGTTTAGGTAAATAATTGAATGAATGGATGAAATTTTAAATATAATAATTTTCTTACCGCAACGAAAGTCTATATTTGGACCGATTGATTTTCACATGAGCAATAACATCATAACTATCACGCATTTATTGTTAAGGTGTTTGATTATTGATAAATAGTCTGAAATTTTTAAGTATCCTTTAGTGAGAATAATCACTCTTTGAAATATAATATATATTATAGATCCCAATAAATATGTCTTATATGTTAAGGTCACTAGTCATAAACCCGAATTAATTTGACAAGCTCTTAAGGTAAAATGAAAGTATAATAAAATAGAAAACTCTCCGAAAAGAACCATAAAATTCATGTAACTTTGAAGTAGGAGAATAAAACTTTCTTTCTGTAGTTTAGTTTTCTCGTAAAAATCATGTAACTTTGAAGTTGAAAAGAACTGTAAAATTCAACAAAATAAAAGAACCATAAATAAAATTTTGATAAATAAGAACTCACAAATCACAATCTCTAGAACCAAATCAAAAATTCATTAGCTACCAATGTTCATCATTTGGACTAGGAGAATAAAACTTACACATCATGAAGTAATTGCAAGAAATAATATATTATTTTTTCTACTATTTATGTAAATTTCGAAGATTATTTGTGCAGTGACAAGTGGTGGGAGAGAGGAATGTGGAAAAGAAAAACAACTCGAGAGATGGAAAGTCGCTATTGAGGAATAGCTAACGATTGTAGAGAGGTACTGAAATTGGAAGGGGAGAAAGGATCTGGTTTGGAGGATTAGGATGAGAGGAGAGCTTTCAGTGATTTTAGGATTGTTTCATTTTGAAAAAAAAAAATCAATTTTTAGTCAGGCAAAATGGTTTGATTGCTCCAAAATTATCATTTTACACATAAGCGCATAAAAAACAGAGGAAAACACAATTTTAACTGCTTTTCTATGCTTCCACCACATCTACAACCGATTTTACCTAATTTTATACAATCAACCTCTTACATGAAAATTTAAAGCGTTTCGGTGACTTGAAATTATAAGCTTTTTATCTTAAAACGCATTTTTACCACATGACTTACATAGGCATCTCCATCATCGCAGGCAGCTATTGCAGCGAACTCTCAGCTGCGTGCAATCTTAATGTAGTCCGAAAGTTCAATTGTTTGTTGGATGGATTTCCAAAGATGAGACACCAAGCCCTCCATGGAGAGGTTTCAATAAGTGCTCCATGGGCAGTAACTTGAGCCAGGAGTTATGTTCTTGTCTCAAGTCTCAAGTCCTTCAGTAGTTACATAAATTCCTTATAACGAAAAAGTATGTAATTTGTGTTATGTTAAAAAAATAGGTAGTAACAGCATTGTCTCATAAGAAAAGGTAGTCAACACAGAAACTGTACAAAAGGGAGCAGCCATTGCAGAGAATAAACTATCCCAGGCCTCCACTCCAAGCAGAAGCTGCAACTATTCATTTACGATTACATCATACTAGACAAATTATGTGGTTCCAAATAAAATGGAAGAAGAATTGAGATCAAAGATCCTAACTTTTCATCTACAAAACATGGCTTCTAAGGACCTGATCAAGAGAGCCACCCTCGTCAAAGTTGAGAGAGTAGCTACAAATGTCATAGCTGAACTGAGAACTGCTGCTCTTCTGCCACCCTATTGTCTGCTTCCACTGCGCCCTCAACTTGTGAACCCATCGCTTAGGAACATAAGACTTATTTCTGCAGCCACCCGACGGAACCTTTCTCTTCCTATCAGCAATGGCTACCATGGCAGCGGATGATGCAGTTGAGCTCGGAATTCTCTTCCCCCCTCTCAAGAACTGGGTTGTTTTCATGCTTTTGGTGTTCAGGAGCTTCATGTCAAACTATGCTGCAAGATCTACACTGGACAGTTGGACCTCGGTATCAAATGAATGAAACACAAGAAGCAGGAGATATAGAAATAGGGAGTGTTAGTAAAACGAAACTAGATGTTGAGCTTTCTTAGTATCAAATGCACTCACTCGTACCAATGACCATGAAATGTTGATCCTTAAATAGATGTCAAAATCCCTTTACTGGGAGTGGGAGGGAGGGGCCAAACAACATGTTATGCAAAAGAGGTCAGTGATGACTGGGAAATGGGAACTTTCCACTGGGGCCAAACATGTTATGCAAAAGAAAAATGTAATTAGAATCTGTCTATGACTATCCTGTAGTTTGATTTCCCTTGGGATTCACTTAAAGTTTGAAAGGCAAAACCAGGTTGGTTGGATTGGGTTTGCTCATACACATTCTTGACCAAAAAGAATGAAAGATCCCTTATCATAACGGGGCCACAATATCCAAATTTAGTGTCAGCAAAGTGCTTTCGTGAATGTTAAAATGCAAATGCTTACACGTATACCATGTGAAGTGTGTAGTAGGCAAGTGCTACCGACTAGCTCCCTTATCCTAATGGGACCACAATATCCAAATGTAATGAATCCAAATTTAGTGTCAGCAAAGTGCTTTCGTGATTGTTAAAGCAAATGCTAACATGTGTAGTATGTAAAGTGTGTAGTAGGAAATGCTGCGGCAAACGAAATTGGTGTATTTGAAATATGGAAGTCATAGGGATAAGAGGGCCACTGTTAGAAACCTAATTCTAGGGTTCTAACGATCGGGTTGATGAGATTGGGAATTGATAGATATTTAGAGATTGAGATAGAATTGGGGAAGAACAGAATTGGCGATTAGGGATTTAGAAGAGGAAATTGGGGATCGTGGAGAAGAATGGCCGACGGACTAGGGATAGGTGACGTATTTGAGAGAGATTAGGGTTTGAGATATTTTCAGAATAATTGATCTTGCTTGATTGATAATGAAACCCAGATTACATATTTATAGGAAAGATAGGAGAACCTAATAATAAACCTAATTCTACTAAAATACTACTAACCTTATTTGTAAATATCCTAGTAATAATACTAATCATATTTATGGTAGAAACCCCGTTTTCCCTAAGGAAACGTGTTTCTATCAGCCACCAGGAGAAAAAATACACATGCAGCCAGTAAGATAAAATGGGGCTCCCAGAAGCCAGAAACTAGCGATCAGTTCGCGCATTCTATATGGCTCATGGGATTATCTGATCAAGCAAGCAAATAGGGGAAAACGGTTGGAACTTAATACCAAACTTGCAAGACATGGCAGAAGAATCCTCAGTAGACAAAGCAAACTGATGAATCTAATACTTTACAGTTGGCTCTGCTTTTAAATAAATTCTGCAGACAAAAACCTTTTGTGTGAATGTAAACAGAACCAAATTTACATCTCTTTATTATCTGCTATTTCTTTTACTTTTCCTTTTTGGTGTTGTGGGGAAGTTGGATTGGAAAATGAAAGGAGCACAATAACAAAGCAAGTTTAATGTCAGGAGATAAACCTCAAGACTCTAATGATTCCCAGTACAGTTCAGCAGAGAGGTTCTTACTGCGGGTCAGCTTTCCAGTGGATTAGGTAACTTTGCACCATGGAGTACATGAGATCCACCAATATGAAATATGTAGAGGCACCAGATTCTCTCCGCTAGTTCACCTACATAAAAACAGCAAATATACAATTGCTTTAATGATTATTTTCTAAAATAGAAATGATAACACAATATTAAATATATTTGGGTTAATACCACCAAAAATACCAACCTTTAGCAACATTGTCATTTATATTATGAAACTTTAATGATTCAAGTAATATTCCAACCTATTGGGGGTAAGTCATGTGTTACGCGAATTTCAGTTTTGTTAAAGTTAACAGTTGACCTAGCAGTGGTCACCTTCGTCTGACCATTGATGAAGTGGCGCTTACATGTCGTCCATGTATGTGCCATCTAGGAAATTATTTTTTAATTAATATTTTATCATCGTCGAGGGCTCGGATTCACCATCGCCCTGGCCCTCCGAAGCGACCAAATAACTTTCTATTTTAATCTCTAGACATTGTCAATACCTAAGGCTCGATCAAAGGAGAGGAGAAACTTAAACCTGAGCTCATCCCCATGTTGCAGGTCATAGGAGCGCAGCAGAAGCTCGACCATCATGACAAATATAGTAGGTTCTAATTATAAACTTCATCTAGAAATCTAAGTGTTCATCAATGAAGAAAGAAGGCAGAAAAAAGAACTTACATTCCTCATGCTCCTTCATTTCTTGAACACAATTGCAGCATCTACAAAGAAATCAAGCAGAAGAACATGAAGCTGAGTTTTCATCAGAATATGGCAGCTCAAAGGAAGGACAACAGTTGCAAATTCTTAAAACCTCATCGTTGACGACTTTCCCTTGAGTTGAATCTCTATTTCACTTAGATTATATCTGAAAACAGGTGACCTGTCACCAAATAATCATGTCAAATGACCAAGATCCTAGCACTTCTAGGCATTGGATTTGTCTAAATTAGAATGCAGGAAAAGAGAACTTGATAATACATGAATGTCATGCAGTGTGCACCTACGTGTGTAGGTTCACAGTAAAGTACTCACGATGATATGATCCCAATTGGCCAGCTCTACACGTTTAAATTACTTGATGAAGAAGCTATCGAAGTTGGGAAGAAGAAGGGCAGAATTTGGCTAAGTCAAAATCCGTGTTCAGGGTACCTACTTTGGAGGCATGGTTCTCTCAATTGGCTTGGTGGAAATTCAAGGTTAAGGGTTTGTTTTGCAGATAAAGTTGCCATGTTTCCAATGCTATGCTTTTTGGATCTAGAAGATGTCATTAAGGTTGTTGTCCAAGGCCTCAAAGTTGCTACCTCAAAACTGGAAAACTGCCAGAAAATAGTTAAATCTGGAAACTGTTTTGTGAAGCCTACTTTGGAGCTTAATTCGAGGAGTATGGATCTGATTCAAGTCCAAAGGCTTCCACAACATGAAACTAGGTATGTTTGTGAACAAAGGGAAGGAATTGGATGAAGAATTGGAGTTCTGGAAGGCCTTGAACGAATGACACGAAGTTAGTACGAAAACTGTTTTTGGACAGTTTGCTTGTGCTAAAAGGCAGCTTGCTTCTGCTTGAAGAAAGAGAGTTTATGGCCGAGTTTTGTGTCCTTTATAGTGTACAATTTTACCTTAATTGTTTCCTAGTTCTATTAGGTTTGTATCAGGTTTATTTGCCTTTAAATACCTTCTAGTTTTCGTTGTCAAAAAACATAAGTTTTGAGTTGAATAAAAATTACTCCTACGTGAGTTTCGAGTTCTTTGAGTTGTGTGTCAAGAACCAAATCCTTGAGTTAGTTTTGTGAGGATTCCATTTCTTATTCGAGAACCCTTGTCAAGCTTTTCTGTGAGGATTCCAGATTCGTTTTACAAGTTTCTTATCAATTAAGTAATCACCTTGATTGTGGCGAAATTCTACCTATCCGTTTTATCTTTCGTTGAAGAATTTAGAGCTGCGTATTCTGATCAAACACCCCCTTGGTGTTTTATCACACGAGTATGCTGGAGCACATGCCTGCATGAGTGTTCTGATCTCGCAAATAGAAAACCAAATAAAGGAAAAGATAAAAGTTCTATCAAGCAGTTGAAACAAATCATCAAATTACCAGAATGGAATTCCCACTGCTACAAGTACTGGCGACAACTGCCACAATGGTTGAAGATGATCACCAAGTAAATCCACCACATATTCAAGAATGCCAGTTTCCTGTTACGCATTATAGAAATCAATAAGCCAAGAATAATACAAAATGTTAAACCATATAATGCAGGCAGTGTCCACACTGATAAACATATTTTGCAAATAGCAAAATGCAGAGAAGGGACAGATTCTGCAAGTTCCATCTTTAATGCATACCAAAAGAGCATACATATCCAACTCAGTTTTTAGCTCACATGAAGAGCAAATCTGGAGACATCCGTGTATGGATATGATAGTTGTGCACCTCTAGTTTAGTGATGCATAAATTACCTTAGAACTTGCTGCTTGAACTTTGAAATGGGTAGCTTGGCTTATCGTAGGAAGTAAGTTGCACAGCGCTTGAAACATCTTCAAGACAGTTAATGTGTCACAAGAAAATGACATCAGATATTCGACTACCGTGCTCCATTTGTTCGCTATGTACCCAAGTAAGAGAAGTTCCTGGAGCAGAGAAAATGACAGCTTCAAGGAGTGATGTGGAAAAACATAACAGTGGAGAAGCCTGCAATTGATACAAAATATTATAGGCCTAGTTTGTGCAATACATTGTCCCGGGTCCAATTGTGACTATAGCAAACAATAGTCCATGCTCACAAACAATAGTCCAAGCTTTTCTTTCAAGTAGGGACTTCTTCTGTTAAGGAACCAATTTTGCCACACAAAACTAGTTCAAGTACTGATTGTCATGAACCAGTTGATCCCAATAACTCGAGTTGTTGGGAGAAGGGTTATGCTGGATCTTATACAGGCCCGTGTATGGTGCTTAACCACTTCCTTTCACGCCCCTTCAAACGAAAGCCGACTCATGGGCTTGAAGTTTGCACATGCCCAGCCTTACCATGTGCTTGAAAGACAACGGTTAATATTGGGGGTCGTGAGGAGTTGAACACGTGACCTTTCGGTTCTAGGCTCTGATACCATGTCAAGAACGAGTTGGTCCCAATAACTCGAGTTGTTGGGAGAAGGTTATGTTGGATCTTATACAGGCCCATGTATTGTACTTAACCACTTCCTTACACTGATATGCATGTAGTAACCCCAGAAATAGTTAAATTGTTGATACAATGTCTCCAGGATATAAATGGATAAATCCAATCTCTTTGAAAGAAACATTTATATCTCAATAAATGGATTTGGTAATAAATAGTTGAAGTCAGCAGAAGTCAGCTTGTAGACTAACACCAACTGACGTTGCAAGTTACCATCCAACTTACTCGTACGAAATGATAAAGCTCTATGATATAATCAACCTATCAAAGGAATGTAACTAAAGCAGTTCTTAAAATAAGATACCTACTATTGTTTCGTGTATCCAGTTATCCCTGCATTGTGTTGATGCAATCAACCGTTTCAAGACTTGCTCCCATTGATTCTTGGGGGGAGAAAGCATAATGCTGGCCCCTGCAACCATCCTAATAGTTCTTTTGTGCAAAAAGTACGAAAGATTCTTTGATCTCCAACCATTCCTCATATCATACCGCACCAAGAGCTCCATGTTCCTGCATAGATACTTTATCATGAATCCCTTGATTCCTGTGTTTAATAATCTGTAGCTTTAAGTAAGTTGCTTACATTCTAAGGAGAGGAAAAATAAAGGTAAACTACTTTGTAACAAAAAGGATGGAAGTTGGAGCTTAAAGCCCCACTAAATAGTACTGAATTAAATCCCTTCCATTCAGTAGGGAACAAAACACTCTGGCAAGTTTAAGTTTGCTGAACCATATGCTATTCATCAGCATTCAGGGAAACATTCATTTGGGCACAAAACATGTAAAAGAAAACCTTTAGGTAATGAAACAAACTTGGTTTTGCAATTTCAAAATACGGTGCATACCCACTTGACATTAGGACTCTGCTATGCTTTTGTTTCTCGAGTAACAGACTGGTGGAATCAGTCTGACTACTAAGTCCACAAGCATCAGATAGAATAGCCAATCCTTCCTCAACTTTTGAGATAGATAACACGGTAGATTGCCTTGCAAGGCACGCTTCAATAGTCAAATTTGTCAAGTCTCTGCTACATTCTCTGATCTTTGTGGTTGGAGTGGTATTTTTCTCCAAAATCTGGGCGCTTGAGGTGCCAGGAGCATTCTTAAGCTGTAATTTGTTCAGATATGTATTGAGGCGGTCATGCTCCGCACCAGGAAGCTTTTCCAGATCCACCTCAACCATTGCTAATAGAAGAGCTCGGAGATGTAAGTTCCTCAACGGCAAGCATCCGCATAGATGTTCCAAGACAAAATCTTTAGCATGCAGAAGGGAAGCATAGGATATACTTGCAAGACCCTGATTTATTAACACGAGAGTCAAGTCTCACAACTCATCAAAATAAGCACACAGGGTTGCTATAAACAAAAACAAAAATTAAGCTACCTCAGGGAAAGATGTATCAGATTTCAGGTGACAGAGAGCTGCTTTAAGTTCCTTCACAGAATCTTGGTAATCGTCAGTGCTGCTCATATCAGTAAGCACCTAAATACGAGTGCAATGCATAAGAAACTCCTGCAGTATATAAGTCTTATATATCAATGGGGTCCCTGGTCCCCAGCATATAACACTAACAAGAAGGCATATAACCAAAGTGGAAAATTTTACAATTGTGTAGTACTTATCATTATAAAGAAACTCCCAAATGCGAAAGATTACAAGTGGAAGAGATCCTTCTTCCTCCAAGGGAGTAGAACCCTGTATGAGAAACTCAAAAACAAGTTTCTGCAGAAGCTACCGACGAAATCAACCTTTGAACACAACTAAATACTGCCAGCAAAATACAGCAATAATGCAGCCTTTAAATGCACGCTATCAGCCCATAACTCCACATCAATTCCATCTATATTTGCATTTGATCCTTCAGTGCCAAAATATGTCCAACAATCATCGAAACCATAATATATCTTCACACTTACACCAAAATGTTTAGTACATGAACCTTTCAATTGGCCATTTGGTAAAAAACTTACTTCAAGTCCTATAAATGACTACAATTTCATCTTGTTTTTCCCAACTTAGTTTTAGATGAGGTCATGATAATAAGCACATTTCATATCTTGGTTGACACAGGGAAGACCAAACATGTATCACAACTAAAATAATAAATCTGACCCAACAGTTAAAGCTCTACTCGTGTCAGAGAAATAGCAACTAAGAAGAAGAAAAGGCTATGGAATTAGGAGGGAACTTACATTCTGAAAGAAGGAAGCCCACTGAAACGCTTTTTTTATGTTGTGGGAGTCCCAATCAGCTAAAAGCCCAGTTGACAGATACCCAGATGCCAGAAGCAATATATCTACAAACCCTTTTATGAGCTTGACCATCTCCTCCAAAGATATTCCTGGGTAGTTCCAACCCATCTTCTACTTGTTCAGTTATTCCTCGCTGGCTGGCTAACAAAGCCCTCAATCAGGCAGAGAAAGGACCCTCAGGTCCCAAATAGCACTCACCTGCTTCAAACAAAGAGCACCCTTTTTTAAATTCTAACACGCCATCTAACAAGAAGTGAGATTTTGTAAGAAATTTGATCAGAAATTGAGGGATGCAAATGCGCGGGATGCATCCCTTGGGACCCTTTCCCTCCCGCCCTTTGGTGTCTAGCCTCTTTACAAAATGACCACTTAACTATTTATTTGTTTCAAAATGGTAACGCAACTTTGAACTTGAAGAACAATGGTATGACCAGCCAAAAAAAAATAGAGCAGGATAACCTGTGCACAAGCAATTACTCGTTAATGTTTTCCAGAGGCTCGAAAATTGGATCTCCATGTGAATATGAACGAGAACATCTAGAGCTGAGATCACAGTTACTGTACTAGAAATAGATAGCAATTCTGAAGCACCTGGCTTCTCTAGCACTTGCTATGGTTACTTAATCACTCCCAACGGTAACAGACACAATGAGCTATTTGGTTTCGACTTCCGTAAAAAGAATATGCAAGTCTCTGGGATATCTATAATAAGTCTGTTTTTTTCTCTCTTTTGTGTAGAATCTCTAATATGTCTTCGGGATTAATTGACAAAAAATATGCTTTCATATGTTTATTAATCCTTACATGAGGTGGTTAATGGTAGTACCATATCGAAACCCATTGACCACTGCACTTCTCTGTAAAGTTTATGTATTTACATGGCTAATGGTCCATCCCAACCTTTGGCATTTACCTTCACTCACTGAAACTAATAAGTATGAACTCCCCAAGGATGGATCAAGCGTGAACCCATTCACTCCACTTCCTATCATCAGCACTAAAAGCAATACAATAAAGCAGTCACAAATAACATTTGAAACTTTTGTAGCAGCTTTTGAATAAATAAATAAAACCCCTTCCTCCAGAAATAAACTCTTTCGTTCCACCAATATTTGCTTGACATTACATGCAACCAATTTTGACAAATCTTGATACTGGTATCACTACATAGAGAAGGAAAGAATTATAATTTACCACTGCGGTGTACTCTTGCTAGCTGGAGAAGTTTGCAACAAAATGCAAGCTTAATTTCAGGCCGGCTGAAACGAAGTGAACTGAAAGAAGAGGGCGATATAGACAGAATCAGAACTGAGACTCGCGGTGAGAAGACTACTAATCAATTATTAGGATTCAGAAGGGAAAAGAGATAAATTATAGCGCAATGGAGTAGGTATAACAAGAAGCAAAGCAGAGGTAAGGAAACTTACCAAAGAGCGAGAAGTTCAGCCGATCGTATTGCCAGTGACGGGATAGTAGGAGCTTCGGAAGGAGGAGGGGCGGAGGGAAGAGAGTGCGAGACGGAGGATAGGTGCGGCGAAAACTGGTGAGAACTGGCGTCGAGGTGGCTGACGTAAACTGACTAGCGGTGACTAGGATAGCGACGCGCGGAAGACAGGCGGCGAAGGGTGAGGACTGAGGCGAGGAGGAGATGGTGAGAGGGAAACCATGGAAATCCAACTTCGGAGAGAAGACAGTGGGACGAAGACGAACTTTTTGAATTTGGGGATTTTACATTTTTACCTCATCTTCCCTTCGTTTCTACTTTCTAGCTTCTACCATGGCTGTCATAAGGCTGCAAATGAGCCAAGCCGCTCGCGAGCAACTCGGCGTTCGAATCGGAAAATACTCGTTCGACATTCGACTCGTTATTTAACAAGTCGGCTCGCGAGCCAACTCCTTAGTTAACGAGCCAAGTCTGAGCTAGACCTTGCTCAACTTGATAAGCTCGCGAACTAGATTGATTCGGTGGCTTGTCGAGCTAAGCTCGCGAGCTGCCTTGTTTTTTTTTTTTTTTTTTTTTTGACAAAAGATATATATTAATGAATCAAAAAGATAGTTACATCCTGGAATTCAGCCAGGCCAAAAAATCAAAATCACGACAAGCAGCCGGGTACAACGAAAGGGCCTTTCTAGCCACCAAATGGGCTACCCTATTACTACGCCGACCTACAAATCGAATACTCAACCCAGGATGGAGGACAAATAACTGCACTACTTCACTAAGAACAGCCCCCACCTTACTATCCTCTGCTTCACTAACCCAGGATGGCGAGCTGCCTTGTTTTGAGCTTGAGGAAGGATGAATTACTCTTTTAAACATGAACATTGTCTTCTAATACAGATGTGTATGAAATTTAGATGTTATTTATAGTTTCTAGTGTTTTTTCTATCATTTAAATTCTTATGTTTATACATTTTCCAGCAAAAATGATTTTAAATCGAGTTCATCTTGAGCCGAGCTTGAACTCAGCTTGACAAGCTATGTTAAGGAGAATTTATCGAGCTCTACCGAGTCGAGCTCGAGCTAGATTATTTTTATTCAAGCCGAGCTCGAGCTCGAGCTGGATTATCAAAATTCGAGTTCGAATCGAGCTCGAGCTGGAAAATTAATAAACAAGCCGAGCTCAAGCTAAGTAAAAACTCGACTCGGCTCGTTTGCAGCCCCTGTTAATTAGGGATGGCAACAAAACCCGAACCCACGGGTACCCACCCGACCCAATTCGGTCAACGCGGGTAAAACCCGTGTTGACGGGTTTTGGGCCGGGTTCGGGTTTAAAACCGCTATACTATTCACCGGGTCAGGTTGGGTTTGGGTTTAGGTAAACCCGCCCCATGTGTACCCGCTCACACACATATAATTACTTTCCCGATATATTTAATATTCTAAATAATATATCTTCTTTAAACAACTAATATTCTTTATGTTTGTAAAGACATGTATAATTTGTTCTTTCTAATTGTTTAAAATGAAGTTGATATTATGAAGTGGAGAGTGAAGAAACTTAGTTGACGAGGAAGAAGCTTTCAATTAATCTTATTGTTTATAGATGTTTATCTTTAATTTTGAACAATTTGTATTGATCATTTGCAATTTGCTTGTATCTGTATGCTATAGATTGGTGTTTTTTGTATGATTAATTTGTATGAGAAAATTGATGTTAACCTTTTATTGTGAAAGAAACTTGTTATTGTAAATTTTTTACCACAAAAACCCACGGGTACCCATGAACCCGTGGATACCCAGCAGGTTGGGTTGGGTTGGGTTTGAGTTTTTAAAACCCAACGGGGTTTTATCTCGGGTTTTTTTGGTGGATAAACTCATGGGTTTGGATTTGGGTTTGACAAAACCCGCCCCAACCCGACCCATTGTCATCCCTACTATCAATAGTGAAATTTGTTGGTCGGTACAACTAGTTTCAACTAGTATTGAATCCATCATAAAAATCAATTAGAATCTACAAAAATATATAAAGGCAAAATATGGGTTAAATTTCTTCTATTTCAAATTTCGTGTCCTGAGAATGATTCTATGACATTGGAGTTCGAACATTGGTCACTTAAATGAAGAAAAAACATTATAACCAACTAGGCTATATCTTATTTATTGTTATTTCTTTGATTGAACTCTAGGAATAAATTTGGTGACGACGCTGTTATATTTATATTTTACCTTAATTAATTTATAATTTATTTTAAGTTATTTATATTTTATAGAAAGAGATTAGTTCTAAAATCGAAACTCAAGTAATATTGATTCAAATATTAATATTAAATTGTATGTGCTGTTTAGTTTAGACAAAATACAAAAATGTAACCAAAACATGAACCTTTGTGACGAGTATAATCATTTTTTTTTGTGACAAATCTACACATAATATAATGATAAAATTGGAAAATGAGAGTCTCATTTTTAAATTTCGTGGCCTGAGAGCAATTCTAGGAAACACTTTTTCGTCATAGTGCCCAATTTATCTTTATATTATGTGTATATTTGTGACAAAAAATTACTATATTTGTCACAAATATCCATATTTTGATTACACATATGTATTTTGTCTAAACTGAACCAGACATACAATTTATTATTTAATGTTTGAATCAATGTTACATGAGTTTCGATTTGACAATTAATCACTTTCGATAAGATATAATAATTTAAGGTAAAATACCTTTCCTACTTGGTTGAAGAAGCTCTTTCTATAAGCTATATTCAATGTTTTAAGATTTTCTATTTTAAATTTCGTGAAGCGAGAGTGAAAGTAGAAAGAGTATTTTTGTCATCACAATTATTATCTACTTCATATGAAAAAGTATCAATATTTTATCTTCTTAAATTGTAAACATGCACTAAGCGAAGATTTGTGATGTTTGAAATATTTTATGTATGATATAGAGGTATAATTATTTGTGACATCAGTTGTAGTTTATTCAAATGTAGTATTTCATTAGGTAGTCAAAATCGAATACTTGGTGCATTTATGATTGTTTTTATCTTGGCATTGTGAATAGGTATAAACTTAATTATTATAATGCATATAACTATACCTAGGCACATGGTCGAGCTAGCACGGCACAGTTAGAGCATACTATGAAGACAATGTATATAGATAGGCCATGTACGAGTATAGGTGTCAATCGGGCGGGTTCGGGTCGGGTTCAGTCGGGTTGCGGGTTAATCGGGTTGCGGGTCAAGCGGGTTGCGGGTCAAGCGGGTTCGGGTTGCGGGTTGATCGGGTTGCGGGTCGATCGGGTTACGGATTGATCGGGTTGCGGATCAATCAGGTTCGGGTTGATCGGATTGCGGGTTACAACAGGTCGGGTTGCGGGTTGTTTGGTCCAAACCATCGAGTTTTTTTAATAATTAGTTACTACACTAATTTAAAACAAACTCATCGATCACCATATTGCAATGAAAAAAACATGAAGATACATTATTAAACAAATGAGTGACTAGATTTTGCTTCAATATATCATAAACAAGTTTGATGTTGCAAAGGATTCATTAAGGTTACAAAACCAACATAAGAAATTAAAAAGCTGACAACTTGCTTGATCATAAACCAATGAAACAATCTCTTGAGTCTTGATAGTTGAGACCATTACATGATGTTTAAGCAAATACAATAGAATGAAATACAGAAAAGTACATAAGGCTCCATTAATCTTGAAAATTTCTCTTAATGCACATCTTAAAATTTTATTTGTTACAAATGTAAATGGTCACGAATTAATCATTTTTCTACTCATTGCATTTATAACCTGAATACAATCAAGAGTCGTTTCAAATGCCATTAATCCATTAAAACTAAAACTACAATTGAGGAGTTTAATTCGTATAACATCATAACAAAATAAATGCTATACAAATCTAATTGATCATATCACATGATCTAACCATACAAAGCTATAAATAAAAGCTATACAAATCTAATTGATTATATAACATGATCTAACCATACAAAAGATATTAGAAGTTTTAGATTACAGGGCTTCTTATAAAAAAAAAGTTCTGGATTAAACTTATACAAAATATGTTGAGTAGTTGCTATCCTTCCTCCCTCGAAACAAGATTCACAGTCCACCAACTACATGTTCTGCAACTTCAGCTTCATCTCTACAGTGCCTGTAGTATATATACCTTGTCAAAGTGGGTGGTTCATTTTGCCAGCATCTGCACAAAGTGAAGATACGTAAGAAAGTCAGGGAATTCTTTGAAATTCATCAATAACATGTGTCAAATTGTTGAGTATTGCAAACAATTATTTTACCTCTTCAATAGGTGGACGAACTCAAGAGTTAGCACTTTCTGGGTTCTTGTACAGCTCCAGTCAAATACGCTGCATCTAGGAGCAGGTATACCTCTGTGTAAATGTAACAGATAAAAAAAATCAAAAGAAAAGGACTAGCATCAATAGATGATTATCTAACCAAGTTCAATTAGAAGAAGGAATATCTAATTCCGTCAAAACTGAAAACCCCTAATTTGTTCGATTTCAAACCCTAAAAACACCTTAAATCCAATTAGAAAACTGAAATACATTATACCTATTCAACTGGGTAGAGGCTGTCTTCAGAGTTTCCTCAGGCTCAATGGCTGGGCACACAGAGGTTTAAAGCAGAGGGCGGAGGGTCTTGTCTCGGTCTCGACGGCTGACGGACAAAGATCCGAAGCAGAGAGTGGTGGCGGCCTTTTGTCGGAAGCAGAGACCAGCAGGGCGGCAGATGTTGGGGAGAAAGGATGGGAAAGGGTTAGGTTCTTCTCGTCGGAAGCAGAGACGAGCAAGACGGTGGGTTTCTTGGCGGGGCCAAGGGCTCGAACGGAGAGGAGTTCGCCGTCTGGAGGTGGGTTTCGTTGTTTTGGGAAAATGAGGTTGGATTTCGACGGATGGGAGCAAAGACCGGGGGCTAGATGTTAGGGTTTAGGTTAATTAAGGATGAAGAGGGTGGATTTTGCACTTGCGGCAGGCCCAAAATTTTGAGAACGGAAAAGGGGCGGCAAAAATTATTGGAGGCAAATGTTGGAGCCAATTCTAAAAAAAGAAGTGAAAATTTTGAAGCCCTCTAGAGCCAAATTGAATTCGAAACAAAGTGAATTCTCCCTCCAAGAATTTTAATAAATTGTTGTTAAAGAAATTGCTAATTGCTAAATTGTTATTATATTTAAGCAATATATATGACCTAGAAATAAAATATTTAAGCAATAGATTTAGCAACCAAAAAATT